TGTGATCTCTGCTTTAAAACTATACAGTAATTGCCTATGAATTACAAAATGTTATTTACCCAGAGATACTTATCTGCTAGATAGTAAGTTCACTTTAAAATTAATAGAAGAGAGGAAGGAGAATGGGACACATAGGTAGCAGAAGCCTAATTCAGGGAGGCTTTGTTGTGCTGCCGTAGCTTTAAGCACATTGTGTGAAAAGGGTTGTGGTTTTAGACACTGTCTTTGGGGTATGGCCTGGGCGTGGGACAAAAAGAATACTGGTATTTTCCTCACAACTCTTTAACCCTTGCCCTTCAACAAGGCCAAGGAATAAGATATATTGACTGAAAGAGTAGTTCTATGAGGGGAAAATAAGCACATATACATACAGACTCATGCACATACTTAGGGTTCCAGAGATAAACACAGACAGCTTTTCCGGAGACACACACCTGGGAAGTTAAGAGTCAAGGTTTGAACTGGTACCTCATTTCATTATGAGCAAAAATGTAGTATATTAGCTTTCTATTGTTAGGTATCAAAGTAATCCAAAACTTAGTGATATAAAATGATACATATCAGTTATCTAACTATTTTTGTGGGTCAGGCAGCCAAGCACAGCAGAATCGGTTTCCAGGCTCACTCAGGGGTTGTTGGCAGTTCGCATCGTTGTGGGCTAATGGCTAGAGGCTACCTTCAGTTCCTTGCTATGTGATCTTTTTTTCAGAGCAGGCATGCAAGAAGATCCATGGAAAGAAAATACCAAGAAGATGAGAATTGTAGTATTTTATAACCTAACCAAAAAAGGAATTATGGGGGCAGTGATCATGGAGACAGTAGTGGTTTAATTGGTTGTTCTTTTGGCAGTCCATGGTACTTTCAATATTGTACACCAGCACAGTCCATAGGCATCAATCTTCAGTCTTCCTTATTCATTGTCCAACTTTACATGTGTATCAAGCATGTGAACCACACAGCCTGGTTCAGGCACACTCTAGCCCTCAAGGTAACAACCTTGCTTTTCAACCCTTGAAAGAGGCTTCTGCAGCAGATTTACCTAATGCGATTCGTCATTCGAGCTCTTGGCAGCATGAACTGTGAATCATCCATAGGGATATTGAAATTTGGGGGAACGCTCAGAGTTGGAGTAAAAGGAAAGATAGTGAGCAGACAACACTGAAGTTGCAAAGATTTCCACAGTAACTTGTATCTTAACTAAAGTATCATCTTTAGTTGGTGTGTCTTCAAATGGAGTAGAGAGAAAGAGCCAAAACTTTGTACTTATTAAAAATAAACTTTCATTTCTTTACCTAGCAGGTAACTTTGCCTTATCATGAATAACAGCTCCCCTGCCCCCCGACCCCCTGCTCAGGTTATATTGCTAATTTGGGATCTCTGGACCGAACCACCAGAAAA